TTGGATGATTTGATATTTGTGTTAACGAGCAGGTGAATAGATGAAAGTGAGTGTATTTCCACTATACGTGGAGTTCTGTGATATTCTTATATTCATGCTTATTCGCTTTATTTCGTGATAGCCAGTGGTGGGCAGATGGATTTACCAGCTGATATAGTTTTGCCAGTGAAGGGAGTACAGCCCATATACCAGTCAAGTGTATTTTTAACAGCTAGAAAACAAACGCAATTTTGTTTTGTGGGCAGTTTTCATGTGCAGTGCAGTTTTGCAGTTTTATGGAATAAAATATAGAAATACAGGCTTTCCTTGGTTACAAGGTTCACATTGAATTGGGCGAAGACAATTCCAGGTACTGGAAGGAAGTGTTTCAGTGACTGTGACAAACTTCTACAGAGGAAATATCTGAAGGCAGGAGGAATCTCATAACTGAGAAATCATTGCTGGCATATATCAAGTTAAATAAACATATTTCAGTTTTTTTAATTGACTTTAATGGTACTTTTTAAAAATGTCTTTCAGTGCATCAATCTCACATAAACTGTTGCAGCTTTCAACAGTGTTTTTTACTAAATTAACATGTTTGGATTGCTGGAACTATTAACAGCAACAAAAGTAGTCTTTACCAAATAAAAGGAAAATTAATATTTCCATTAAAATTTTGATTAAAAGCGATGGGGCCACAAGCAGAAGAGTGGGAGGGCTGGCTGTGAACAGCAGCTGTTTTGATTTTGTGTCACAGGAAGCAATTTTGTTGATCATCACAGTTAATATCTGCATTGTAAAAACTCTGAAACCACCACTGATTTCTGTATTGAAAATAAATTAACAGCAACAGGAACACTAAATGGAAACTCTCAGGAAGCCCGAGTGTGCTCCCAACAGTACATTTAATTTATATTTACATCAAATTTGACATCTGTGTGGCAATATAAAAACTTGTCAACTATTTAGCATACTGTGGCTGTGTGGAAACGTTTCTCTTAAACGCTTTTATGTTTGTCCACCCATGTGTGTGTGCGTACATGCTCACGCCTACATGTGTGTGTGTGCAGGTGTGCGTGCTTATCCACCTGTGTGTGTATGTACTTTCCTGGGCTCAGTTCGGGAGCTAACAGGTGCAGAGAAGACGGCGACCGTCGCTGAAGAGACCGACATTGATGCCGAGGAGGTGAACCAGGCGCTAGCAGCAGAGGATCTGAACCTCAACAGAGGAGTGACTGACCTGGACGCCACAGCCAAGACAACAGATGTGAACCTCTCAGAAAACAAGGTAGGCAAACACTGTGTGTACAAATAGGCAATGTGGTTGCCGAGGTTCATGTATGTTCTCTGTATGTGTGGCAGCAACTTGGCATTACAGTTGGCAAACGGACAGGCCTTTAGCGCTTTTCTAGTCACTTTATTCTCTAAATTTGAAGCACTTTATCTACTGCACATGCATTTCTGTTTTGGAATCAACAATTAATCTCACACATGTACGAGGTGGCAGAAAGGCTCTTTTACAAAAGATCCCAAACATAGAAGCCCAACGTGACCAGGAGAGTCAAACTAGTTATGGTAAAGTTGCAGAGCATTTAGTGGTTGGAGACCACATCAGTACAAAAATTATTGCCACTGTACTTCATGCAATGAACTCTTGTTATTTCAAAGACAGGGACAAAGCCCACAACCACATGCAAACAGCTGCCATCTTCAAAGCAACTTTGGTGCATCAAAGCAGTGATAAATGACACAGTCAGTCTGCTATTAGTTTGTTATTGAATGAGGTCAAGTTACAATTACATGCAGTCCGTTTGTGATAATGCAGCACTTGACTTTTACAAGACTGACAATTACAAATCTGTTGCCATCTACGTACAAAGAAAGACGCTCACTTTGCTTTATAAAAAACATACGTAGTTGCCAACCAGTTGATTCAAGTCCCTGATTGCAAAGTGATCAGTTGCAGACGAGTTGTTTGGCTCTGATTGATTGTAAAGAGTTGGCAATCTGCGTTTGTGAATTAGACAGCAGTTATTTTGCAAACCTTTAGCAATTCTGAGAGTAGCTGCAGGACTATCCGAGTCGGGCCACGACTGTATGGAGGCAGGCGCTTTCAGCTAGGTGTTTCACAGGTGCTAACTGTGTTACTACGTGGCGATCAAAAGTGGTCGAGGGTGTCGTACACTCAGTCAGTTAGCCACCACAGCTGCTTGAAATCAGTTGTCAAATGTGAAAATATTCAATGCAGTCAACTGGCAACCTCCATTTTTTTTCATAGATCTAGGACGGTTGCTGTCCTGTTTTTATTCTAATGTTCCAATATTCAAACTGAGCCATCAGCAGAAACCAGATGGACACTTTAAGTTGTAAAATATATATATTTTTTAAATGTAAGTAGTTTTAACTGTTACGCCTTGTTTTATGAAACATGACATTTGCCCATATGTCAGCGGCCCCCAACCTTTTTTGCGCCACGGACCGGTTTATGTTTTCACGGACCGGCCTTTAAGGTGTCGCGGATAAATACAACAAAATAAAACCAGTGCCGGTAACAAAAAAAGAAGATTTATTCATAACACACAGGGAAATCGAGTTAATGATAAAAATGATTTTTAAAAAATAATGATGAAAACTCTGAAAACCACACATTTCACACCCGAGCCTCAACTCTCACGGCCCGGTACCAAACGACTCATGTCCAGTGCCGGTCCATGGCCTGGGGGTTGGGGACCACTGCCCTATGTCTAATAAATCCATGTTGTGGAACTCCAGCATTATGTGTGTCATGTATTAATTTAACTGTACTATATATGCCCACCCCCCATCACGGAGAGACTGACGCCTAGCAGATAAAATGTGGTTAAACTGTCCTTGTTTGTATATCAGCAACTAAACAGCATTTAGAAGATTTAGGTCTCATTTACAAGTATTGTGGGTTCAATTGAATGAAACACAAACATTTAAAGAAAGAGTTTCAAAAATTGTGTCTTTGCATTAGAAGCTATACTCTAGTTTATTGTTGAGAAACCCGGCAAGAAATGAAGTATCTGCTACAGAGTTTTGGATTAACCTGACCCTAAAGGGGATCCAGACTTTATACAGATTTCTCAAAGGCTTTCTTTAATGTAAGATTTACTTGAGAAATCATAAAGTTTTCATTTTCATTTGAAGATAAATGCATGTACTAAACTCCACTAAAATCAGTGTTACGCCAGCTCTGTGCTTGTGTATGGCATGGCTGTTAAGAAAGTAGCTCCCACTACTTGGTTTCTTTCAGGAGCTATTAGCAGTGTGTTGGCAACAGAGCGCAAAGATGGTGGCCTTGTAGTGTTAGAGATTTGATACTGCTCAGTCAGACCATCTGCTCTCTGGCCTGTGAAAACTCACCACTAGCATCTATCTATAACCAGAGAAAGGCTGTCTGGCCTGTCGGGAGGTGTGAGAGCATGGTTGTTTGGCCTGCTGGCAGAGCAGCATAGTAACTGTTTTTTACTGGATTTACAGTTGTATGCAGGGGTGTAATTGTGTTTTTGATAGAGGAGGCAGTGGGAGGGAAACTCTATGTGATGAAGGCAGAGATGGGGTGCAGGGTGATGTTTATTATGCTACTGTTTGGCTCAAGACCTAGGGCTCCATATCAAGTTGGCAACAGCGGTGCATTGTAATAATTTTATTACTTTTTTATTATTTATAGCTTCCCATAGCCTGGCTTTGCTCAGTAGTGAATGGACAAGTATAGCAGAAAAGCCTGGACTGCTTTTATTTGTTACTTTCTATATTCATTCTTTTGAACCTGTAAAACATTGTCACAATTTTCCTTTTGCATGATTCAACTTTAGCCAAGTTTTAGCTGTTGGACAGTTGGCCTCGCTTTTGACTCTAGAATACTTTGGTATACAGAGTTTGTGGTGAGCTAAACAAGTGCAAAGTGTCCAGATCCTGTGGCTGCAAAACAAGCCCAAACCATCACCCCTCTGCAACTCTGTTAGGTAGGAGTGTGCTGATATCATGCATTTAGCTTTTGTTAAATGTGGTGCTGACGGTTAAGATAAGATAAGGTAAGATAACCTTTATTAGTCCCACATGTGGAAAATTTGTTTTGCTACAGCAGTGGACAGTGCAAGTTGCATATAAAAATTAGAGAAAAAACACTGGAATAATATATCTATGAGATACTGTACACAATATATAGAATAAAATAAAAATAAAATACTATATACAATCGAATAAAAGAGAATGCTTTATATACAATTGAGTATAATACAACGATGCCAGAAAAGAGTATTGCACTTAGTGTTATTGCTATTGCACATGTGTGGATGTGTGTGTTTGATCAGTTGAAGTCTTTGTTGTGGAGTCTGACAGCAGTGGGGAGGAAAGACCTGCAAAATCTCTCCGTCCCACACCGTTGGTGCCGCAG